TTTTTCATCTTTATTTATTTAATTTTTGTTTTGTTTTAAAATAAACAAGCATTTAGCCATACCCTTTAACACGAGTGTTGTATGTTGTTATTTTTTATCTAGATTTTATTTTATAGATAGATAGATAGATACTAAAAAGATAGATAGATCTATATCTAGATCTATCAATTAAAAATCATAACATCGTTGCTGTGCTACTGTCATCGCCCGCTCTCGTTAGCGAGAGGAAAATCCCCTCTCAGTCGACATTAATTTTAAAAATCTAGCCCGCTCATGTTTATACAAACGTGAGCTGTGTCATTGTGAATGGAGACAAGCGAGTTGACGAGATTCCTTCCATAGTGTTGTTGACATGGAATAAAAACGTGCTTTTTAGATTTAGACCGTAAAAAAAAAAAAAAAAAAAAAAAAAACTTAAGCCTAAAATTAATTTAGAAATTTTATATTTTTAGAATAAATGCTATAAAAGTTGTAAATCCAGAAAACTTGAAAATAATTTGTTGAGTTTAAGGCTACATTTCTATTTATTTTCATCAAGCCTAAGTTATAACCGGATGTTTCACTTTCGTAAGACAAATATTGATTGGCTGTACAGTAACTTAGTGATCGGTAACTATTTGTTTACAAAACTTTGCAGATCAAGTTTTTAAATAACAATGCAAATTTAAAACCCCATGACCTAGTTTTCTATTTTTAGCTTACAATGTGTACAATAAAATTAATGTCGGCCTATCCAATAGCAGGATGCCATTGTTTATGTCGCCATTACACGTGAAAATCAAATTGTTTTTGCTTTTTTTTTAATTTTTATTTAGTTACTGAAAATATTAAAAACATCAAATACGTCCAATCTTTAGTAAAGTCCGAAAAAAACCAGACAGACATGATTTTATAACCATATTAATTGTAACTACGCCGTGCAAGATTTTAAAATTAATTTATGCACCTCTCAAATACTTTTGAGACTTTTCTCGCTTGTGTCCATTGGTATAATTTTGTCAGCAGGAGAGATATTCTGCAACATCTATTTATGGATTTTTGTACTTGCAAAAAGTGTAAAAGTATAAACAATTCTAAAAAGTGCAATTTATTTTTTTATTAAGTAATTTTAATTACAAACAAAATTTACAAACAAAATCTTCTGAAACAGTCCTAGCACTACTCAAACACACCTCGTGACACCATCTTTCACACATAGTACATCCAACCCAGTTCATTAGACTCCCATTTATACATTTTTCTTTGGCTACTTCTTCCAATCGACATTCACAACATGTCACATTCTCATCACAGTTGACCTCCTCGTTCATCCCACACACAACACTGGCACCCATAATCTCATCATCATCGTCCACAAGATTTTTACCCCCCCCCCCATCTCCGTCACACACCATCACAAAAATCCAGACCCCCCTTCCCACCCCCTACTAAAATGACACCTCAGCCGACAACCCCTCTCAAAATTGCAGTTGAATTTTTTTTTAAATATCGATATTTTCCCAAAATCGTGTCTAATTTCGGTCAAAATAGAGTATTTTAATCAATTCCTATTACAATTTATTAAAACAGTTTTCTAAAACGCGAAAAAACATCTAAAAATTCTTTTTCTAACATTTATAGTGTGACTTCACAACATCTAACCCCCCTCCCCTCCTCCTCCTCATCACACATCGTCATAAAATTACAGAGCCCCCCACCCCCCCCCCCTTTACGAGTGTGACGTCATTTCTATGCAAAATTTCTATGCAACAATAGAAAATATGTTTGCGGCGGCAGCGGATCCGGGCACGGTGATCTTCAAAGACGGTAAATCAGGCGGCCTCGGCGTTCTACAAAAAATACAGAAGTTGATCTATCATTGGCGGTATTTTCCGTCGAACATGGGGGGAGTTGACAAATCATCAGTATGTCTAGCGACGGAAAAATAGGAAGAAATGTAAACGAAACGTCTTTGAAGTCTGGACCAAAACCACTGAAAATCGGGTGCGGTAAATTTGTCGCAGAAATCTTCGCATTTCAACACCACCCAGCGTAAGTATCGGGTTGTGGTAAAATGCGAGACAAAAAGTCACGTGACCGACCGTTTTCGTGCCATTTTTCCCGCCTCGCCATTTCGCTTTTCGCGTCTCGCAATTTCCCCACACCCATTTTAAAAAACGTAAATCCACCTCAAAATGTGAAATAATTATTAAAATTTAAGGAGTCACCTGGTTTTCACATTACAAGTCGCGGGCGATTTTACGTACCCACAACGATAGATTACCAAAAAGTTTTTTATCTAGAAATCTAGATCTAGATCTCGCTAGATCTAAATCTAGGTCACTAGACTTAACGTAAAGTCTAGATCTAGACTTAATGTAAATTCTGCATCTAGAATCTATTTCAGGCCTTAATTATTTTATATTAATTCTGTTTTTAGCTTCAATGATCATTTAATTCGAGAATGCATGGGATCTATCTAGGTTCTAGATGTAGATATAGTAGGATTACTCGGTAACTTGGAGGCGCGGTCGGTTGCTAACAACAATATGGCGTCCGGACCGGACGCATGACTTGCGACCGTTTTTAGGCCATGTTTACCCCGAGCTAAATGGCGGGTTTTCACGTTATATACACATGCTATAGGTGACCAGGGCTGGATATGCCAGAAAAGCATTTTAAAATTTGCTTTGGAGAATGAAGGCTAAATTTTAATGTCGGTGCGATTAAAATTAATAGAACTTTAAAAAGGTCACATGTGACATGAGTATATGAAGGGATAGTGTGGTCAGACACATGCTCAGCCGAAATCGGCGTTTTTAAAAGATAAAAGTCTTTTGAATGTCGGGTCTGGTTATTTTATGTCACTAACGTGATGTCATTTTTGGATGACCCTCGAAACCCACAGTTATCTAACTAGATAACGGGTAGTCTAGTATTTCCTAAAGCATTGAAGTAAACTTAATGTACAAACTTTTTTTGTAGATGGTATAATGCTGAATGCACGTGGAATGTTTCAGTCTTGTATGACAAAGGGTGTCAAAGCCTTAGCAATTTGAATGTTGAATTTTGAGTTAAAAATGCAAAGTTGAGAAATCGTGAAAAGAAGGGCGGAAAAGGGCACTGTGCCTTATAGAAAACATAAAAAAACGTCTTGTTATGTGTGGAAAAACCATTTGACTAATAAAATACACGTTGATTTATGTTGTGTTTTAGTCAGATTTTTTTATGTAAGCAGAAATTATGTATACAGCAGGTAATGAATTAATGACTATTAAGTATTAGGCCTACACATCCTATCATTCGAGTGTTATTCACAGAACAACTATCATCAAACCAAATTAAGTTTTGTTTGTTAGCCGGTCTTCTCACTACAATACAAAGTCTATCCCTACTTAAATTGTAGCTTACACACGTTTATTGCCTTTTGATAATAGCCTACTACACAATACTGGGTACAGCGCTTGAGACTTGACACGCCCCCACCCCACACCTCCCCGCCGCTGGATAGTGCGTGAAAATCCAATGAGACATAGATTACAGATGTTTATTGAACCGTGAATAACACATCCGTGTAGATAGGGTCAAGCACTGTTTCCATGTAAGGCCTAAGTGAATACTTATTAGCTATCTCATCTAGTATTTACATTAGTTGCTAGCAAACCCTATACGGAATGAAGGGCGTACACATTAACACATGTGTTGTTTACAGTCCGATGTAAATACTGATGAACGCGTTCAAGCCTATCAAAGCATGCCGTAACAAGATTATATACTGGCCGTTGGTTGAACAGTGAGAAGGGGATGAAGGGAATGAAGGGGATGGGCATAGTACGTTCTTCACACTGACAGACATGTCCATAACGCATTGTTTCAGCTTAGTATAAAGTCATTAAAATAATCATTATAATAGTCATTAGTATAATATGTTTGGTCAAGCGTATCGATGAATCTCTTCCAATGACAATCAACAGTACACTTCTTTTCAAAGATTAATTATTAACCTAAATGTTGTATAATTTTCAAACAACAAATAGAAGAGTATATGTGTGATGACGCTAGTTTATGTCGGATAGGTCAAGTAGAAGAAGTTAATAGAAACAGGCTATAGCTAGTTGACCAATGAAAATACAGGAGCTGACCGGCCACGTGGAACGGTCAGCTGACCACTGAAGCGTGGGTCAGTAGTTAGATCAAGCAGTTAGAGATAGGTAGTTAGAGGATTGTAGGAAAAAAAGTCACAGGAAAAAAACAACACAGGAAATAAAAACACAGAAAAAAAGTCACAGGAAAAAAGTCACAGGAAAATAAGTCACAGGAAAAAAGTCACAAATTATTTCTTAGAATATATTTGTGACTTTTTTTCTGTGACTTTATTTCTGTGACTTTTTTTCCGATAAAATTTTTCTTTTGTGACTTTTTTTCTATGACTTTTTTTCCTAGCAAAAACTATGACTTTTTCTGTGTTTTTTTTTCCTGTGACTTTTTTCCGTTCACCAGTTAGAGACGGTCGGAGATATGTAGATCTAGGGAGCAGTTAGGTAGTCAGTTAGAGATGGGTAGCCTCAATGTAGAGATGTAGAGGATTAGAGATATATAGTGTTAGCAAAAGGTCATGTAAGTACGTAATTAGATAGAAGTAGTAGTAGTACAGTATAAATTAGTTAGGTAGGAAGTTGATTGGGTAAATTTCAAATAAAGAATATTATATTTTGACTCGGACTGTGCGTTGGACAGGGGCGGAACTACAGTGCCACCAGACCCCGCAATATACATATACATATTATACATATGCAACGATATTTTCAATATCCGGTTCATTGACCAGGGGATGGGGCTTTCTACACAGCGACATCCATACACTTCTAACAGCATTTTAGCAATTAAAAACAAGGATTTAAAATAGGCTAACATTTTGGCGGTAAGAGGTGATGGAAAATTGCATATTAAATAAAGATCTGTCTGTCTTTTTCTTCTGATGAAATTCACTTTCTACCCAACAAACGATTTATTTGTTTCAGATATACGAAGCGGAAGAAGATACTAATCATTTACCCAAGCCTTATTATTATGGTATCCAAGGCAGACTGGACAGCAATGTGCAATGGCTACCAGTCACACCAAACTTCTAAGAAGCAGGCTGATTAGTGAAATCATTATGTACATTAAACATATTAAATGAATAAAATTATTATCTTACAGATAGAAATCGATAAACTGAGATTCGATTAAGTCAATGTTTAAAACTTTGAAAATAAATATAAACACACATGTTTAATTTGACTGATAATATTGTTTCTACTAACTTATTATTGATAGTTGGTTACCGCCTCCTACCTATACTCTCTTAAAATCGTTAATATTTAATTTCAAGCAATAAACGTATAGGAAAAAAATCTTTCTCGTTTATCTTAGGTTACTTTTGGAGAGCGTCTGTTTTTGCAAGAGAGAATAAACTTTTCCAGGATAAGTTTTTGTAAATTTTGCTCCACACATCAAATTGACACGGTTCTTTTCCATCTGGAGAATTGTTTGTTTTACTTGATTTAAACAATACGCGCAGAAATTAAATATTTCAGGATAAAAATGTATTCTTTTATTTTGAAAAAGGAAACGATGTCAAGATTTAGTTGTTTGTCAACATTCATGTCAGACATCCTCAACATTACTGAAGAAAAACACACTTAGTTGCTATTCTAGCCACACTTATTTATTGATAAACACTACAAGTAGAGAATAGAAAATAAAACAAAAGAATTGTATGTTTTAAATAAATATCATAAAGACAATTCACAGCAAAATCGTATTAAAAACGATTGACTGTTATAAAACATTTATATAACAAAGCTTGCATAGATTTTTTACTTATCTAATTTTGGAAGACAAAAGTTTGATTTTATGACGGTATAAATTATCAGCCACAAATTAGCCGCCAATATCGCTTTTGTGACCTAGTCCTAGCCCACATTCTAAAATCTACATCTAGCCCCGATACCTGACCTGGCCCTAACTTTAAAATCTAAACTTGATACAGAAATCCAATTTTAAGCTGACTTCAAACGATACTGCAATGACCTGTTGGCGAAAAAGTTGTTTAATTTTACGTATAAAAAAAGGCTTCCAGAAAAATTCGCAATCGGAATACTTCGCAACGGAAAACCTCGCAAAGAGAGAAATTGTGCAAATAAAAACTAATTAAACAAATATACTTTTATTTTCCATTTTTAAATCAGAACTTCGGTCATCATGGGTGAGTAAACTCATTGATGCTATCTGTTTGTTGAGTCAACCCACACACGGTATAGAGTTCTTGCTAACGATATAACAAGCTTTAAATGCATTGAAAATAAGAAAAAAAAAACTTGCTCTTTTTAATAAAAGAGCAAGCAATACCCCCTTAAAATGACGTCACACCTCAGCCTACAACTCCCCTCAAAATTGCAGTTTCATTTTTCGTAAAACATCGATATTTTTCCAAAATCTTGGTAGAATTGTCAAAGTAGAGTATTTTGATCAATTCCTATTACAATTTATTGAAATCGTTTTCTAAAATTGCTTTTTTATAATGCAACACCATCTGAACCCCCCCCCCCCCTCCTCCCCGTCAACACACACCGTCACAAAATTACGGACCCCCCTCCCACCTACGAGTGTGACGTCATTTATGGACGACCCCAAAGCTGTGGTCGCTAATATATTGTAAGTTCTCATGCGCGACCAAAGCTTCTATTAAAGAGAGCAAGTTTGTTCTATTTTCTTATTTTCAGTGGATTTAAAAGTCTGTTGTTATAAATGATTTTATATTTATTTTATTATCCAATTTTTTGTAATTCTTTTAAATGGAGGCTTCAAAGGAAATATTCGGGCTAAAAGCCGATTAATAGTTTGCAATCTCTAAAAGTCAGTTGCCCGCTCGCTCTTCGTTGTCAGCGCTCATTAAGAAAACAGCCAACCGTGACAAGAGTGCACCTTTTACAGCGAGCTTATTTCGTGATCGCTAGTATTTAATCTTGTTTTCGCCCCTTTTATCATTGAATATACTTAAACCAGACCAGTAGATTGCGATCTCTAAAAAACACTTTTAAAAAGTTTAGGCCTACCGGTCATCAAATTATTGTCCTTAAAGTAAACAGCGACGCATTTCTGCAAAAAATTTATGAAACCTATTTAGCCTGTTACTCACTTGGGTCTAAAATTACCACGAGTTTAGACATTGGCTTAATTTGTCTTTTCCAAACCACGACGTAAAAAAACTTTTAAAATACAGCTTGTCACGCCGTCAAGAATTCGATTACCCCCTGAAAAGTATTTAGTTCGCATCGTGGTGTCCATCCATCTGTAGTTTGCATCTTAATATTGACAGGGAAAATAAAATTAAAAAAAAACTCCGGTACTGCTTACATTATACACACGCTCGGAAAAAGAACTTCCTACTTACTAACGAGGAAAAATAACAGAAAATTATAAAATACATTTTAAAACAGCAAAAATATAAAAGTAAAATCTAAAATCTTTCGGTTTACACGCTAGAAAAAAATACAACTAGTCTATTTTTCGGTTTGCGATTCGACACAATCGCAAAAAAAAAAAAAACCGGTAGTGATCTCCCCTAAACTTTCTCGAATATTTATATATAAAACAACAGGGGATGGTAACTGGGGATATAGTTATGATTTTTAATCCATTTTAAATACTGAAACTTTTAAAAATAAAATAGAATCTCAGTAAAAAACAATTGCGCACCAAGCGAACGCCTAATAAAGGTGTGTAAATAGTGCGCAATAGTATTAGTACTTAATAAATTTACATTAGTTTTTTGAGAAATCGGAAGTAGCGTAAATTACTACTTCCGGTCAACGGAAATTACTCAAAATTTAACAGAAGGTAGAGAATTAGATCTTTTACTTACATGTGAAATTTCATTTATCTATCTGAAATAGTACTCAAGTTATAGGCTTTTGAAAAATTCAAAGTAGAAAAAGTACCACTTCCGGTTGTCGGAAATCGCTCAAAAGTTGATACGGATCTACGATTTTGATATAATACTTATATATGAAATTTCATCAACCTAGCTGTAACGGTACTCAAGTTATCGTGTTTACACACGGACAGACACACACACAGACACACACACACAGAAATACGGACAAGATTGCAAAATTATGCTTTTCCGTATCAGTGAGGTGTAAAACGTCGAGATTTGTAAAAATCTCGATTTTTTTTTTGCACGATTACAATACTTTCTCTATACTACGTATATACGAGAAAGTAAAAAAACTACTGTTTTATTAGTTCGTTACAATATGCATGTTTTACCATTTCCGTATGACAAGAGTACAAAGAAGTTTGTGTTGAAGCATACAGTTTTAAGTTAATTTTGTTGGGTTTCAAAAGTAAAAAGAAATATTCGATTCTTAATTACACCTAGGAAAAACATGAAACAACCCTTCATATTTAAGAAAAATGACAACTAAAACAATTAAAACATAATATTAAAGCTTACTTTTCATGATTGATTAAAATGTTAATTTTATTAAGACAATTCAAGCAAAAAAATGACAAACTTGGCTTCTGGTTTGTTCTGTCAATTAAAATTTACTGCTAACTTAATATATTAAAATTGTTTTTCTGCTAAAAGACATAAATAATATTAAATAGATTGCAAATTTTGTATATGTAAATAAAATGTATAAATGAATACTCCGCACACACACACCAACACATACATGTATGTATGTATGTAGGCCTATATGTATATATATATATATATATATATATATATATATATATATATATATATATATATATATATATATATATATATATATATATATATATATACATATATAAATATATATATATATAGGCGTACTTTTTTCTCAAAGAATTATAAAAAAAAATAGAAATTGATACCATAGCTTACATTTTTCATGCACGTCTAAAAAAGGAATACATGACATTTAAAAAATAGTTATGTGTATTATATTAATATATTAGGGGTCGTCCATAAATGACGTCACACTCGTAGGGGGGAGGGGGTTCCGTAATTTTGGGACGGTGTGTGATGAGGGGGAGGGGGTGGTGGGTTCAGATGGTGCGACGTCACACTTTTGTATTATAAAAAAGCAATGTTAGAAAACGAATTTTAGACCATATTTTGCGTTTTAGAAAACTGGTTTAATAAATTGTAATAACAATTGATCAAAATACTCTATTTTTGCAGATTTCAGAAAAGATTTTGGAAAAATATAGATGTTTAAAAATTCAACTGCAATTTTGAGGGGGCTTGTAGGGTGAGGTGTGACGTCATTTTAGGGGGGGGGGTATGGCTTTTTGTGGCGACGTTTGACGGAGGGGAGGGGAGGTAAAAAAAGCGTGACGTCATTTATGGATGACCCCTTATGTATATATATGGTGTTTGTGTTTCAAATTAATACTATAATAGAAAAAAGTAAAAAAAACATGGTGGCAATTCTAAAAATTTGATACATTTAATAATGTTAATTTAAGAAACAAAAGAGCTATTTTAATCTGTGTGTGTCATTGTTTGATGAATATCTGACACTATACACCGATACGTGTATACAGCTCTTTTCGCTGCTATTGAAATTACGCATCAGAGTAACCACTTCAGGAAAAGTCTTCCATGCTTACACTTGCAGTAAAACTATCACCGTGTGTCGCAGTAGTGCAGTGTAAATCATATCTGATGTGTTTATTGATGATCACATCCGTAGACTCATCAGTGATATTGTAAATCCACTTACATTTGTAACACTGGATAGCATTACGGATTCCTGTAATAATCAAAACATAATGTTTTTTAAATTTTTTAACAACTTTTAGTGCAGATGGAATATCAAGACGTTTCTTTCTTAATAACACTTCCTAAAATAAATTAGGACTTTAGCATCATCTTTACAGGCTAACGTGCAGTCAAACATGCACAATCATACATTCAAGAAAAGTATATGCTCATAATATGCATATTCTAATCTAATCTGCAGTGATAACACTCTATTTGTTCGTTAGACTGGTGCATCGTTTAAATTACCTCGGTAGTACAATCCGTAACTTGCTAGCAAATGTGGTTGTATTTGTGGAGGAGAGTTCCAGCTTTGTAAACTCTCAAGACGAGTCAAGTAGCGGCTGTAGTAGATGGCGTCAGCATCTTCTTCGTCGCTTTCTTCGTCTGTTAAATTATTGATAAGTTTTAAGTTGTGGGCTCGATTACATTTAAAAAAAATTAGATTGTGTTAAAATATAAAATATGAATAATTAAAATACCATCAACTGTTAACAAATGGTAGACATTGGTAGATTCTATATTAGATGTAAAATAAAGTAGACTTGTATTATTAAATAATGTAGTGTAAACTTGTAATAACATAGTAAATTAGAAGTACTTTGTATACAAGGGAAACTGAATTTTTTTTAAAAACTAATTACATACAATTGAACCCTTTATCTACTGACGGTACTTATAAGTACCACTTTAATTAAGTGCCTGTATTATTTTTAATTTAATACGAATTTTAAAAATTATTGATGTAATTAGTAGTATTATCTCCCCTGAGTCGCCGGTAGTTGGAGAGATCGGTGAAAATTTCTGATGTGGCGCCATTTTCAATGTCTTGCTGTATCGGTAGTTTACAATTGTTCTGTACAGTTCTCACACACGTTCTTTATTTTTCAAGTTTTCAACCCCAAATAAACATTTTTATTGGCACCTTCAATAGTCAGGCAAACGCGTTTAGCTTCTAGTTATACAATTTTAATCAAATTGTCTTTGTATTAGATCGATGTTTACAAGTGGACTTATAAGTACCGTCAGGGCACACGGTCATTTTTTTAGGATTTCTAGGAAATGGCAGATTTTCGATGTGGAGTGACATAAATATTATTTTGATAATTAATTATCGAAATGTACTCAAAAAATGATATTTACACATTTATAAGAAGGTTAACATATGGTTTACCTAAGAAACATTGTAATTACATGTTGAATTCTAGTATTAAAAGAATAACAAGAATATAGGTAGCGTGTACAGGCTCTTTTACTGGGTTTAGTATACTTCGTTTGTACACCAAAGCCTAGTTCTAGTCATCATCATCATTCCTTTGTGGCCCCTGGGGAGCAAAGGGCTGCAACCACACATAAGTTGGTGTTGGATTTGTGTGCTTGCAGTTTCTGTAGCGGTATATTTTTTTTACGAGATAAGGTTGCTAGCCTTATGTTTCAACTAGTAGTAAGATTTAATTTGTTAGCTATAATTACTGCAATAAATTGTCTTGTCTACAATAACTAGCATTTACGTAATGTATACCTGTAGACTAGTAATAGTCCATACTTCTGCATATAGTATAGATCTATATGGTAAATTGTAATCAGTAAACAGAAAACAGTAGGCCATCCTAAACACATTGAGCTCAATTCTATTGATGAACTTTACACTGCAGTGTAGACTTTTTATAACATTCTAGTAAGCTACAATTATACTAGTATTACTAGTAGTTGTGTACTGAATGAGATGGCTTTTGTTTGTTTATGCAGCTCATTGTAAAAGCTTTTGAAAGCTTCCAGCAAAAGCATGTTCAGTCCGGCAACCGTTGCTACACCAGAAAGACCACAGACAACAATGAGGGAGCATGAAATGTCGGCAACGTTTGATGTGTTTAAGGTCTAAGATGTGTTCCGATAGAAAATCCAGTAAAAATCGTACCCTAAATACACTTTTGTTTTGTATTTATGTGTGAAAATTTTAAAAAAAAACGATTGTTATAATGATTGCCATGTTATTAGTTAATAAATTGTATCTTTTGTTCCTGTTTTGTAAAAAAAAATTTTTTGAAAAAAATGTCCTACATTCCTGACGGTACTTATAAGTACCATTATCTGTTTGGGTCAATAAAAATTATTTAAACGAAATTTCCTTCGACATATGCTTTAAATGTGCCAAAAGCAATATGATCACACATTTTTTAAGAAAAAAATTCATTCAAAACCTAATTCCGTAAATAATTGTGTCATTGCATTAATTTACATTGACCCTATCCTGCTATCGGATAAATAAACTAAAAATACGTTTGCTTGTAAACGATTTCTAATTATACATTTTTGCTCTTACCATGTGTCGTAGTCTCATCGAGAAGTGAAAACAAATGCGTTTTCCACTGATTCCTGCAATCAACCGCTCCATCAGTTTCTCTAGCCTCCCCTCCCTCTCTTGCCTCGCTTTGATCAGCCTCGACATGGTCTCTGTTTGCAAACCTGCAGCTTCGACAGTGATAACTGACAGACCTTGGGTCGTCATTCAACTTATTGATGCGGTGCTTGTTGCGACAACCCACACACGATACTGACTTCTTGCCAACGCACGTAAAGCCCGCTTCGGCCAGCTGACAGTAGAAGACCTGCCCAAGGGGGAGGTTGTCATTTAGCAATGGCCTAAAAGATGCCAGCCGTCCTTGCGACTCCATTAACTGGGAAAAATAACTATGCACAGGTGTCTTTGACATTCTGTCAAGGTAGAGTGCTGGAACTAACAGGGTAGCTCCTCAATAGAAGAATAATTACGTCTCAAAAAATAAACTCTGCTAAATCTTGATCAGCTGAAGAAAAGAATATCTTAACTTAATCTGCGACACAGCATCACATAGTGATGGCAAGGTGTCCATAGAATAGCTATTAAATAATATAACTGTACGTGCCGTTCGTAAAGACTGGGATGTAATCCTCGAATTGCATGAAGGAACCATGGTCACTATAATGTTAATGCCAACCAAGCCAAAATCTTCTGAATTGTCTGCCATTTACAAAAACACTAAAAGTCGCACAAAGTCTAAACAACATACTCAAGCTGTAATTGTTTACAGTATTCATTTCAAAATTCTTGATCAGCACGGACCTGAAAATAGGCAATTATAGGAATGAATATTTGTAATTATAATGATTTATTTAATACAATAATTATTTTGTCATTTCTTTTCTCAAAAACAATCTCTGAATAGTCTTTTCCTAGTCAAGAAATGATTTTCTTGGTGACAGGACAAATGATCTCAGACAAATGATCTCAGGACAAATGATCTCAAGGACAAATGATCTCACGGACAAAAGATACTAGGACAAAATATATCAGGACAAATGATAACACGGACAAATGATCTCAGACAAAATATTTCAGACAAATGATCTCACAGCTAATTTTTAATAGTGTGTAGGATGATTTTAGTTGAATTGTATTTAGTTTTAAATTGACTGTTCTATGGTTTTGTTTACATTCTTACATATAATAATTGTAAATAAAATGAATTCTTTAAACTTAACAAAACATCAAAAGATTTATTAAACTTAATCTTTATAATAGCATACGATTTGAAAAAAAAAGTATAAACTAAAACAAACTTACTCCTTTAACTTGAGAGGTATAATAAATGATAATGACTAAAACAAAGGTAGTTATACACATTAAGGTTCAAAACACGCGAAATATTTTTTCAAAAATGTATTTGCGTCTTTAGATTGTGTGAACTCTAGCTCGACAGGTTCTAACTTATCATTTCCAAACCTATTTTGCATGCTGCTCCACTTCTGGCTTTTATAAAAATAAATTCACCAGAAATGAATGTCCTATAACCTTTCTGCAAAGTAATGTAAGAGGCCATAGCTGAGTAATCACCACTATTAAAGCTTTGTTTGCATGCACACCACGACAAATTGTGCTCCTCGATGACCGCTGTAGTTTAAATAAGCGTTTGTCACCTGATCACTAAAGTGTAACCGACGCATAACTATTGACTTTAGATGTTAGTTGTATTGTCCATGGAGGGTGGATGTCTTTCCCTTGAGGCATGTCTCTAACATCAAAGAGGGCTGCCACCTTGATACGAAGGTGTGTCTTTATTGTTATTTCATTCACTTTGATCTAGTTTTGTCCACCTGACGTGGTAGGATTTTTTCATGTTTGGCAAGCCCATTTACGCTCTCTAGCGAAAATTTTGTTTAATATTCGCATAACATCATCGCAATTTTAAAATGTTTAGTACAATATGACAATTTAATGCGGCCAACATTTCATACAATTATAATATCGGCTTATAAACAATGTTAAACATGGTAAACAAAACTATATGACAGTCAATTTTTTTTCAAATCTACTAAAAACATCGTATATACTATTAAAATTTAGCTGTGAGATATTTTGTCAGAGATCATTTGTCCATGATATCATTAGTCCTGATATATTTCATCCTAGTATCTTTTGTCCGTGAGATCATTTGTCCTGAGATCCTTTGTCCGTGAGATATTTTGTCTGAGATATTGTCTGAGGTCATTTGTCCTGAGATCATTTGTCATGGAACCCTTTTATTTCATGTCTTTGACCAATATTGTTGATAACAATCACCATTTTGCTAACAATGCACACTAGAACTTAATATATTTTGCTCAAATGGAACATAAATTATTTTTAAGGCAGTGCTCGCTCTCTATACTATATCTAACAATCATACCGGCATGAATAGAAGCAAGAATAGAAAGGAAAAGTCTATGCAATCATACTAAATTTTTAGAAAATTATATTAAAAAATATAGAAAGCGATAAAATTATAGTTAAATTTTTAAAAATTAAAGCCGTTTGGGAACCATCGCTTACACACATTTTCATATTTTTGTATTGAACATAAGCCGTTGAAAATGATTTTAAATTATTGTATAAATTTAAATATTTAATAAAACCGCCCTCAACCCCACCTTGAACTGAACTGAAGTGGCCAGGGAGAGTAAAACGATAAATGTCATAACATTTATTGTCCATGATAAATACGAACAAGGTGATCCAAGAAAACAAAATGGCGAACAAGGGAATATTTTCAGTTCGATTCAGGCTTTTAAAATTCGTTTGTATCTCTTTTCATTATAATTGGCTTATTTTTATATGACTGTTATGCTCAGATTACTAATATCTAACATTATTCTTATTGTGACCAATGTTTTTGTCGAATGATTTTAACGCACGTTTCATTGTTTTTTTTTAGGCCTGTGGCCTGTGACTAGTGGCTACTCACTCTGAAATGTTCTGGGAGTGCTCTAAGCAGTAAGCTAGAGCTAGAATCTATAAGTTTCTAGATCTAGATTATCTAGACTAGATAGTTTAAAAACGAGAATCTAGTACTAGATTCTAGGATACCAGGAGGAGTACTCTAGAGATCTATTCTAGATCTAGAATCTATTATCTAGATCTAGTAGACCTAGACATCTAGTTTAGAATCTAGATCTAGTAGATCTATACTTCTATGTTCTATACTATATACTATAGATATCTAGATCTAGTCTAGTAGTAGATCTAGGATGTTACGGCTTTTTAATATGTTTAATTATTTATTAAATATAAAAATACTAGATCTAGATCTATTCTAATTTATAAACTTAATACTTAATACTCAATAATACTAATACTATACTAACAAGATCTACACTATAGATCTTATAGTTAGTTAAGTAACTTTATATTGTACGTCAGTAGATCTATTAAGTATAAGTCAAGTAGAGTAGAGATCTACTCTAGTCTAGATCTAGAAGTTATATATTTTATAAAAATCTATATTAAATAATTCAAGTATTTTAAGTTAATAGTAATAATAGATAAGTTAAATAAATTAGTCCCATAGTTTATATTATAAATCTGTAGCTGGTATAGACCAGTGGCGGAACTAGAAAAAAAGGGCCACCCCGCAAAGAAATTTTTTGGGCCCCATATATATATACATATATACATACATATATATATATATATATATATATATATATATATATATATATATATATATATATATATATATATATATACAATAATACCAACACAGAATACTCATTTCGGGCTTGTTCGAAATTTTAAAAAATCACTAAAAATACTTAGTTTTTATTTTAAAAAATAAAAACAAGTTACAACAGGTCATTTGTTTGACTGCTATTAGTCTGTTTTGAAAATATCTGTTTTAACATGTTTGCTATGATGCCTCCATGAGTACGTCGGTCGAAATAATATAAAGCACGAAAGCTGTGTATGTGTAATGGTTTCTCGCCTTATGTTTATTTTTATGTTTTTTTATATTATTAGTTTTAAATGCATTTCCTTTTTATGCTTTGTTATTCTTTATTATGTATTTTAAAAAAAAATAATAATTAAGAGAAGTAATTGCTTTTTAATTTGTTTAGTGCAAATTTATTAAAAGGTGCTTAAGAGCACACATATTTGACTATTTAAAAAAGGGAAATAAGTCATGGAAGTGGTTTGAACAATTGCGTATCTTTCACGCGATGGGTTTATTTTCAAAAGAATTTTGCCGACAAAATTTTGATTGTAGGAGAAAGAGGACTTGAGATGGTGTCTATAGAATAAAGATAATCCAACCGCAGCTGCAGTATTCTTTTTACAAAACAACCATGAAGTCAAAAATGAAAGAACATTATTTTTTTTAACTGTAAAAAAATTGATTATGGTCGGCTGCGGGCCCCTAAACGTCCCGGGCTCCCCCGCAATGCGGGGTCTGGCGGCACTGTAGTTCCGCCCCTGGTATAGACTAGTTTTAGAGACTAGTCATATAGTAAATAGTTAATCTTAGTCCTTAGTAATTAGTTAGGAGGCAGAGTTTCTTCCAGGCATCTCTTCAGGGGGGCTCTGCCCCCCCCCCCCCCCGAAGAAAGTCTACCGACCCCCCCCCCCCCCCGAACGAGATGGATTTTATATAGTAAACATACACTTTTACTAGTTAAAATATATTTACTATAGTAGTAGTATTAGTAAGTATAGTTACTCTATACAGTTACTAGGTATATTATAATACACACAACCTCATAATTGCAAAATCATGACATTAGTGAATCAATTATTTAGTAGGCCAATAATTTCTATATTAATTTAATTTTAATAGTTAATACTTACTAAATTACTAGATCTGTACAAAATACATTTTATTTAGGATAATTTAGGCTATGGTACAGATGACAGTCCTAATACTTCAATTACATTGTTATTATGATTAGGGCCTAGTTAAAGGTAATTACTAATTAGACTTATGATGACTTATGTTAGTCTAATAACTAATAGATTCATATTTAATAACAGTAGGTCTATAGGCTTAAAATAGTATTGTAAAAAAAAAATAAAGTATGCTTAATTTTTACAGTTGTCATATTACTTTTAGTTTCAGTAGGCCTATCTAGACTGTAGATTTAGATGTAGTAGCTTAGTAGTAGTAGTCTAGTAGGCCTGTGATAGGGTAGGTATTTAGTATTAGTATGTAAGTTAAACAAAGACAACTAGGCTTAATAAGGCTACAATTTTAAACCGTAAAAATTACATGTAGCCTTAATAAAAGGTTACAGACTAAATCTAGTACATTAAATAATATCGAAAATTTAAAGTTTAATCTAGATTAGTAGTCTAACAGTAATTTAAGGCCTCTAATAATAATAGTAAAAATTACTGAATAGATGAGTAGGCTTACTAGTAAATAGCGGTCTTATTTTAGTTCTACTAAATTAACTTAATATATGACTCAGTCTACTCTTAGTTTTATGTAGTGATCTTTAGAACTTAAAATGCAGAATAGTTGATAAAGCCAAAAGGTGTCACTTGTCATAGATGGATTAACTTACTAATCAAATTAATATAATTAACCTAATATTTATTCTAGTATGTGCATGAATTAATGAGAGTTATAGTAGCCTAGTTTGAATATCAGTTTTCAACTAATTCCTGAGGTGGCTAAACATAAGTAGTAGATCTTTATTGATACCTTTTTCTTTTTTTTTAATGATATATACATGACTTTTGTACTCTTTTGAAGGCCTATTGTATTTAATGACAAACTCCTTACATTAAAATATTAAAAGTAAACTATTAGACCTATATTTTTAATGAATGGTAATGGTTAGATAGCCCATACAATCCAATACATAAATACACATCATTGCTCTATGATCTTTATAAGACAGACAAATATTTTTATTTATAACATTAAGAGTTGAAAGTATGTAAACATAATGAGTTTAATATAACAGTTTATGAAATTTATTTATGTTTTTTTAGATACTGTGGATCATACAACAGCATACAGAGAAGACAATAGTTAAGATGAAGCTCAATTTAAAAACTGATCCAAGGATACATGTTGGACCCAAGAAAACTTGTTCATATTGAACAACTATTTTTTTATTATGTTAGTTCTGAATGAATATGGTAATTAAAAAAAGAAAATCATAAACTTTGTTATGTTTATTTTTTTTTCAGCACTGGTTGTGTGTGTGCTGGTGTAAGCTGAAACTAATTATTGCTACCTTAATTCAATAATTAACTTAAACTGGCGAACTATAAATAATTTTTAAGAATATGGTGCTGAAGTAGATTTCACCTAGTTTTGTTGCCTCTCCATATTAATAAATTTTATGGTCAGCAAAATGTCAAACAGCTTTTACTAAGTTTTACTATCTATAACCAGTCAGGTACCAGTTAAAGTTAAAGCTGTTTTGAATTTGAATCAGAGACAACCTAAAAGATTAAAATTTCAACTCAAGAACTTTTGCTTTAGCAAATGTGTTCACAAATATGTAGTCCCACTCTAAGCCTTACATTTGCATATATATATCATAGATGTAAAACATATTGATAAGGGAAGAATCAAGAACATGGGTTTTGTCAATTCTAGCCATACCAGCATATAAATGTAGACCAGGCTTAGTGAAGCATGGCTGATAACTAACCATCAACCACAAATACAACAAACTATAATCACTGCATGTTTCCTGGTAATGTGTTGTTTTTGGCCGAGCAAGTTTATGAACATGTTGTAATTGTTAATATATTACAAAAGAAAAAGACTTGCTGATCAGATGCATTCCAGATATTTGAGGAAAAGATGTTTTCTATAAGGATAGGCAGCTATAACAAATGAGCTTAGGGGAAATGTTGAGTTAAGATAAACTATTTAATAATTGTAATGACAAAGATACCATCACAGCAACAAATGTAATTGGGTTTGTATGACTAATCAATGAATATCCTATAAATAATAGCAAAATGCTGTAGTGGTGTGGGAGATTTGGACCTTTGTGTCAAGGGCGGGAGGGGGTTCAGAAAGTAAGATGACACTTTTCAATGTTCAACAAACACTCATCTAAGCCTTTATTTGCATTATTAAAAGTTGCTTTATAAATTGTTATAAAATAATTAATCAATAGGCCTACATTGAATGCTGGAAAAGCACATAGGTCTAAATATTTTATGAAAATCGCTGCAATAGCGGGGGATGGGGGGGGGGGGGGGGGGGCTTAGGTTTACTTTTTTGGGGAAGGGGGATGTCTGGCATCGTTGTGACATCGTTAATAGATGACCCCATAGTCAGAGGTCGATATAGATTGATTAGGCCTATATTAAAATGTTGATATTAATTACGCTTTACTTATTATTACAAAGGAATATAGCAGGGGTCTCCAAACTTTTTAGTCCGAGGGCCACATTAACTATCAAATTTCAGTTGGGGGCCACTTTGTTTCTAGGCATGCCGTGATTTTTCTGAGCAAAGTTCCTCAGAAATCACCAAGAAACTTTTCTTCCGTGGACAAAAATATCTCCGCGGGCCGGATGAGAGGTCCTCGCGGGCCGCATCCGGCCCGCGGGCCGTAGTTTGGCGACCCCTGGAATATAGCCTAGTAGTTATTTATATTAAATAATATAACATCCCCTTTCACCACAACACCATGACTATACTAATCCAAATTAAAATGTTTTGTAAATTACTATTATATTATTAGTAATTTTGTGTTTAAATATTTTTAGCCTTAGTAAAACCGGAAGTGACTATTTACTTATTTCACAAATGTTTTAAAATATTCAATTTTGGTTCAAAAATATGCTTTCTGGCAACACAAAGTGGAACCACTTTTGGAACCACTCTTCCATTCTATAGTCGAGGATCATTAATTTTAATTTGTCATCAATTTCGTTCAATTTGCACACACTACTACTTAAGCCACTATAGAGGTTCAGCTAAAATTTTTGCAAGATGATCTAAGCTAAAAATAAATAAGCAATCACCTGATTTCTAAAATTTGAGCATTTTGTTCTCAAACGTATTATCAAACAAAATTTGACCTACCTTAATGAGTTTGTAAACTTAGGTAAATAATCTGAAAATCTGAAAGTAGTAAATTAGTTTAAGAATTTTAGAGGAATTAGTAGATCTATGAGTTAACTAAAATTTCTTTCGTTTTTAACTGTTGAGTCATTCTTGTTTCGCAGAAAATAGCGAAGCAAATGGGGAATTTCCGATATTTAATAAAAATTACGTAAGCAAAAAACACATTTAAAAATTAACGAATTAAACTAAAAAAATGCGAAAAACCCAATGATTAAAAATAGGACAAAGAAGGTCGTTTAAAAAAAAAGGTCTAAATTGAAAAAGTCAACCTTTTTTTGTATTTGCCCTGGGTGATGTCAATCAAGCCAAAATCTGTTTAATAAATTGTTTGGTGAAGTGTGCTTGTGTGTTTGTGTGTGTGTGTGTTTGTGTGTGTGTGTGGGGGGGGGGGGGGGGTAATTGGTGGAGAGTAGGGGGGGGCATCTCTTTTCTTACCATGATATCCGATCAGTGCTAATGGATAGCATGATCAAGTTTTTTATTAACTTATTCTTCTAGCTAAAAACAAAACTAGTTACTGGCAGTAGTTATTAAAATCGCAACTTTTAATCTAACAAACAACACTTCGCACAAAATTATTTTTAAAACATGTATAATATCAGCTAGACAATGGGAAAATTATAATTTTAATACCTGTATTAAATATTTTAAGAACGGTTTATGGACTGATTTTACAATTTACTAGACATTGTTTTTATAAACACAGAATTACTAAAGAAAAAAACATGAAATACTAAAACAAATAGCGTTTGCAGAACCAGCGTCACAATTTATTAGAAGAATAGTTATTCATTTATATTGTATTTATCCTAAATAATTTTAGACAAAGACCACAAAAGTAAATAAGAAGTTTTACATGTAAAAAAAATGTAATGTATTTCTATTTTCTACTTCTACTCCCTACAACAACATTGGATTTTCAGCCTACTAGAAAATATTGAAATATGATTTAGAATGCCACTTTTTAAATACTCTAAACTCATCGAAAAATAACACCTAACATGTTTAATATTTATTAAAATATTTATAATGTGTCTAAATCTTAAAATTTTAGTTTACTGTAAAATGGAAATAAGCTTCAATTATAATCTGCTTTGTTTATTATCGATAGTTTACTTTGTTTATACATAAATAAGAACTTATAATTTTCTCTTTTTTTTGCTGATAGTTTATAAGTTTATTAAAAAAAAAACGTTTACACTCTTGCAAGGTTATTTATCTTTATATAAAACAAGTTAAAATATTGTAGGTTTTAAATGTTTGTTCAATAAAATGTTAGTACAGAAAATATATTTATTTTTCTGAAAAAAACCTATTCTCGAATTGGTGAAGATTGTAGATAATAATAAAGGGGCCTATTAAAAAACATTACTGTATATAAATAGTGGCCTACTGTACATAAATGTAAAATTATTTTTAAAAAATTTTCTTACAATATTTAATTTAAATTCAGTGACAATTCTATATCAATGTACATTAACTGAACATACAAATATGTTATTTTCTAATAATTTCTATATTGCTCATTTTTATTGTAAAATTAGTCGCAAAGTTATGTAAAAAACGTCGTGACAGTGGCCAGAATCTGTTTGTTACAGGCCGGACAATGTGTCAGAGACTTAGAACAGTCGCCACAAGCGTAAAGATCACCACACGGCAGGAACAGGTCTTTGATGTTGGCCGTATTGCACACTTTACACTTCAACTGGCTCCGTAGGACATCGTTCTCTTTCTTAAGCAATGTGACTTTAGCATTGTTTGTGTATTCTTTCTGTATAACTGTGAAGAAATATAAGATTCATTTTATTTAAAATAAGTGAAATAAAATAATGATTAACTTAATTTGTAACTTGTATCAGAGTTACCTGGGGTAGTGTGTTGGGGCTGGTCACTTGTATCAGAGTTACCTGGTGTAGACAGTGTAGTGTGTTGGGACTGGCCCCTTGTATCAGAGTTACCTGGTGTAGTGTGTTGGGGCTGGTCACTTGTATCAGAGTTACCTGGTGTAGTGTGTTGGGGCTGGTCACTTGTATCAGTTACCTGGTGTAGTGTGTTGGGGCTGGTCACTTGTATCAGAGTTACCTGGTGTAGAGAGTGTAGTGTGTTGGGGCTGGTCACTTGTATCAGAGTTACCTGGGCTAGTGTGTTGGGGCTGGTCACTTGTATCAGTTACCTGGTGTAGTGTGTTGGGGCTGGTCACTTGTATCAAAGTTACCTGGTGTAGTGTGTTGGGGCTGGTCACTTGTATCAGAGTTACCTGGTGTAGTGTGTTGGGGCTGGTCACTTGTATCAAAGTTACCTGGGCTAGTGTGTTGGGACTGGTCACTTGTATCAGAGTTACCTGGTGTAGTGTGTTGGGGCTGGTCACTTGTATCAAAGTTACCTGGTGTAGTGTGTTGGGACTGGTCACTTGTATCAGAGTTACCTGGTGTAGTGTGTTGGGGCTGGTCACTTGTATCAGAGTTACCTGGTGTAGTGTGTTGGGGCTGGTCACTTGTATCAAAGTTACCTGGTGTAGTGTGTTGGGACTGGTCACTTGTATCAGAGTTACCTGGTGTAGTGTATTGGGGCTGGTCACTTGTATCAAAGTTACCTGGTGTAGTGTGTTGGGGCTGGTCACTTGTATCAGAGTTACCTGGTGTAGTGTGTTGGGACTGGTCACTTGTATCAGAGTTACCTGGTGTAGTGTGTTGGGGCTGGTCACTTGTATCAGAGTTACCTGGGCTAGTGTGTTGGGACTGGTCACTTGTATCAGAGTTACCTGGTGTAGTGTGTTGGGGCTGGTCACTTGTATCAGAGTTACCTGGTGTAGTGTATTGGGGCTGGTCACTTGTATCAGAGTTACCTGGGCTAGTGTGTTGGGGCTGGTCACTTGTATCAGAGTTACCTGCTATTGTGTGTTGGGGCTGGTCACTTGTATCAGAGTTACCTGCTATTGTGTGTTGGGGCTGGTCACTTGTATCAGAGTTACCTGGTGTAGTGTGTTGGGACTGGTCACTTGTATCAGAGTTACCTGGGCTAGTGTGTTGGGGCTGGTCACTTGTATCAGAGTTACCTGGTGTAGTGTGTTGGGACTGGTCACTTGTATTAGAGTTACCTGGGCTAGTGTGTTGGGACTGGTCACTTGTATCAGAGTTACCTGGTGTAGTGTGTTGGGGCTGGTCACTTGTATCAGAGTTACCTGGTGTAGTGTGTTGGGGCTGGTCACTTGTATCAGAGTTACCTGGTGTAGAGAGTGTAGTGTGTTGGGGCTGGTCACTTGTATCAGAGTTACCTGGTGTAGTGTGTTGGGGCTGGTCACTTGTATCAGAGTTACCTGGTGTAGTGTGTTGGGGCTGGTCACTTGTATCAGAGTTACCTGGTGTAGTGTGTTGGGGCTGGTCACTTGTATAAGAGTTACCTGGTGTAGTGTGTTGGGACTGGTCACTTGTATCAGAGTTACCTGGGCTTGTGTGTTGGGGCTGGTCACTTGTATCAAAGTTACCTGGTGTAGTGTGTTGGGGCTGGTCACTTGTATAAGAGTTACCTGGTGTAGTGTGTTGGGACTGGTCACTTGTATCAGAGTTACCTGGGCTAGTGTGTTGGGGCTGGTCACTTGTATCAGAGTTACCAGGTGTAGTGTGTAGAGACTCTATGTTGCTAGTGTTTGCTATAAAACAAAAAAGAACAAAATATAATTAGCTGCCGTTAAATTCCTTTCATTTGCGTACATCACTGCGTACATTTGCCATAAAAATACAATTACCTAACTAGCGTATCTTTAATTTAATAAAATGATTGAGTAACCTACCATGAGATTGCTGCTGACCAGTCTGACGTAACAGAAAATGACAGGAGGGCCGAAACTTTTGATGCTGATCTACAATGTCATCTCCTGGTTTCCATGACTTGAGACCAAGTCCACAGTAAAAACATCGAACACAATCGGAATAACCTACGACAGATCCAATGTAATATTAGCAAAAGGTTGTACATATTAATATAGGTATTTTGGCTTACTTTATTTTGTCAAAAAAAAATTTTCAAATTTAAATTTTAAATCTATGAATATATTTTTATTTTAAAAATATTTTGCTTTAAATAGATACACGTCATATAAAATTTGCATTTAGCGTCATAAAGTGTAGAGTAAATATCTAGAATGCGTATTTTAACTGTAACAGTGCAATATTTTGAAATATATATATTTTGTACAAGATATTGTTAGTCAATTATAAATATATTGACTTAAACTGAACTAAGTAAATGATGCTATAGTAGGTTATATACGGTTTCCTAGTGTTTTTTATATCTTAATTTAAAGTCACGGAAAACAAATCTCCTCCCTTATGTTACCTGCATAGTAAAATCCTGATCTGGCTAAAGACGCAGGGCTATGTATGTGGTCTGCGGGCCATTGTCTGAAGCTCTCCAGTCTCTTCTGTAGCGTGATGTACGCCGGGTTAGCTGGGTGACCCATGGGTACAGTGTACACTCGGACATCTGGTCTAGCAAAAGCACCGCCACAGTCTCTATGATCAGCACTGGAATCGTTGTCCACAGGCCCAACTTGTGTTGGTTCTGTTACTAGAGTCGATACTGCATCGGTTCTACTAAAAGAACAGCCATCCAAATGGTAATCGCTGCCATCTGGGTCAGAAACGATGCTTGATATTGGCTTACGATTTCCACATCCATGACATATAACTTCAGTGTTAGAATAATAGAACCCAGCGTCAGCTAACTTTGAGAAAAAAACATTGTCTTGTTTTACATAACGGAATGAAGCTAGTCTTGTCATAGAATCTTTAAATGTCATAGGGAAAATCGAATATTCTTTTTGTTTCTGATGATGTTTGAAAAATTTCCAGTCAAATAAATGTTTTAGTTCTTTCGAAACAAAATTCAGATCAACATTTTTACAAGATCTAACTTTGCGTTTAACTGTATTAACCAGGTGTTGGTTATAAACTGCCAAAATGGGCAAACTCTGTAGTATTGATAAACTGTCTGCTTTGTCTTTTATAATAGTAGATTCTAAATAGTATATCATCGTGTTGGCTAGAAATCCAATATCAATATTTTCCATATTTTTTCCTCCCGAAATATCGCGTCCAAAATATCCAAAATTAGCCTACAAGGTAAAAAAGATAAAAGGGTAGATTTAATAAATTATCACGACCAGTATACACACAAGCATATATATATATATATATATATATATATATATATATATATATATATATATATATATGTATATGTATATATATATATATATATATATATATATATATATATATATATATATATATATATATATATATATATATATATATATATATATATATATATATATATAAAAGAGAGGAGGGGGTGAAAAGAACATATTTTTTTCATTCCTTCATCAAGAAAATTATAGTTTTTGATCGTTTTACCCTGCTTGAAGTTCTTTTCCTGTTTTAACTTTCTGAAACGGAACTGAGTTCAGAACCATATGTACTTGTTTTCATTTACAAAGTGGAAATTCAATCAAAGAAATTCTGTAAGTATGCTTGAATCTTTCATAATTTTTGTATTTTCATGCAATGTTTATTTTCTCAAGCCATAATAACGTCAGTCTGGATTAATTGTTTTAACTTTTGAGAAATTGAATTGAAAGTTTGGATCATTTTATATGATAAACTGCTGGGGTCTTCTTCTTCTTCGTTCTTAATTATTAGTGTTGAAGGGGATCGAGATTTATCTTCCAGTGGGTTTGAACTCGAGACTTTGTTCGAATTTATCAACCATGAGCTTTTTGCCGACTCGACCACGCCTCCAAAAACAATTAAGCGTTACGTGTCAACTGGTTATGCGCCATTGATTATCTTCGATAATCTTAAGCAATGAAGGGCGAAAAACGTGCGGGCTCCATCGTGTCACATGGAAAAGGGAGCACCGTCACACTAAGTGGAGCGTTAAATGCCATCGGAAATAGCATGCCACCATTCCTGATCTTCCCCAGAGTCAATGTTGAAGATCACTGGAATCTAGGTGCCCCAACAGGAACACGATGCGATTCTCACCCAAAGGCTTCGGGTGGATGACGTTTGAGAACTTTATTAAATTTCTTCAGCAATTTGCCCAACATGCAAAGCAGTCAAAAGACAGTCCAGTGTTGATGATTTTGGACAATCATGAGTCCCACTGTAGTAGAGCTGCAATTACCTTTTGCAGAGAAAACCACATCAACTTATTCTTCACACAGACCAGAACCTATCCCGGTCAGTGATGGATGATCCCTACACTCAGAGTATCAGCAGCCAAAGATCACCACACCAGCATCATCGACATCCAGCGCCTTTACTGCCCCGAAAGAAAATCAAAGCAGCAAAGTCAGCCATCTTGACTAAAACTCCAGTGAAACTGTCCTTTCAAACTCACCATCAAGGCTGGTGGTTCTTGCAAACCAAAGAACTTATGTTATGAGTCTAATGATGACGACGAGGCCAACACTGCTCTGGAAAAATATTTGTCTGAAAAAATGGATGGCGATGAATTTACACAGATCATTGAAGATTAAATCGACTATGCCTTGGTAGCTCTCCAGTCTTGTTTGAGAGGGGCAAAGGTCAGGACCATCTTTGTTGGGAATTTTATTGTTTTTAGGTGCAAGGGCAAAAAGTCCACTGCTCTCTATACTTGAATAGTAAAGAAACTGATGGACGAAGAAGGGGACTTTCAGGTTGAATACCTTAAAAGAAGTGAAAAGGTGAAAAACAAATTCATAAACTTCGAAACTGACGAAGTATGGTCTGTAAATAAAAAAAAAGATATCTTTACTTTTCTGACAAAGTCTGATATTTCTGGGACAAAACGCACCAAGAGTGGCCATGTGTTCATTGAATACATCGTGAAATATGTAGCCTAAATATTCTTTAACTGTTAATTTAAAGACAACATTACATTTTGTTTTTCAATTTTAGTACAGTCCTGTATTAATATCTGAGGCCACTATCCTCTTTCTGGCCCTGTGTTCTGTCTGCGGCTCTTCCCGTGTAACAATAAAATATGTTTAAATTTAATCTTTTACTATTTCGATTCAATCTTATGTAAATTTTGTAATAATTACAAATCAGGTCCTCATTTATATATATATATGTATATATATATATATATATATATATATATATATATATATATATATATATATATATATAATATCTAAACATTCATTAATATTCATGATTGGTAAGGGAAATTATTTTCAATAGCAAAAACATTATCTTTAGGATCAAACATATTCAACCTTATAACGTGTGAAAACGTATGACTTTTCACTCCAGGCATATGACTTTTTGGTCCCGCAATGGAGTAAAATGTCACAATTCTAAATCACGATGTGCATACCCTGACCAGCTATTCCAAACGGCTCTGCACACAGTTATCTGAAGCGTGGAACTAGTATCTGGTGCGTGGTATTGTTAAAGGTTCACAATTCTTGTCTTTAGATCCTAAAAAGGGAAAAGTGTGACTTTTCGACCCCTCCTCCAGTATATATATATATATATATATATATATATATATATATATATATATATATATATATATATATATATATATATATATATATATATATACAATCGATGTTAATTGCTGTTTTTCGTCATGTTTATTACAAATCAAATTACCGATCCTCGAGCTCTAAAATAGCATAGATGTTTATAGCGATCATACCAAGAGACATCCACGCTAATAATTAAAAATAAATGCAATATCATGTATGACTAATTGAGTACATTTGTCTTCAGCAAGCTTTTTGCAGCCTTAATATTTGTTTTCAACCTAATACGGACTTTCCAGAGTTTAACATTAAATCTGTTAAAAGCAGTAATAAATTGTTTTCGTTTTTTTTCTTTTAATATTAAATTATGGACTCAAAGTTTCAAAAATAGCCATTTGTTGCTTCATATTGCAAAAATAGACTATACATTTATTATTCATAAACAATATGAATAAAGAAAACCAATAATTTTAAACTGAACCTAATACAATCACTTTTATATAATTTGTTGCATCATATTGAAAAAATAGACTATAAATTTATTATTCATAAACAATATGAATAAAGGAAACCAATAATTTTAAACTGAACCTAATACAATTACTTGTATATAATGTTATAATTAACGTGTATTATTTTTTGTCAATCGAATGTAATTGGATTTTAAAAACCCGCAATTATTTTTAAAAAGGTTATCATTCATATCTATATTTAACTGGCATCGAACGGTACTGCAGATATGCTTAAGGCTAAATGATGTATTTATTTTACTACTCTAATAATGGCCATACATACAACCTTCTTCCTAATAATAGAAATATGTAAATTTGAATATGACTAATACAATCTGTATATATAATTCTCTTCTTGGATACCCTAGAAAACACCAAGCTGTAAGCTTGGGGTTGGGGGAAAGAAGGGAGGGGGGGGGGGTTCGTCCTTAACGACCTACTGATAGTGTTTTAAAGCAAATATTTTCAGTGGCAGCATTGGTACTGTCGAATTCACAAATTATGAATTACTGAAAAGTAGAAAATAAAACAACTAAATAGCGGATCGGCTCGTATAAATATAAATCCACTTTTTATTAAATAAAAAGAAACAAATCTTCGGGAATTTCCGGAATGACCAATATCTCTAGATTAAGCTCGGCGTTGCTGTGAACCAGTGTAAACAACTTGTTGAAAACACAGAAACAGGCTATTTTTATTTTACTTACCTGTTTTCGCTTTAATTAAAAACTTCACATTAAAAACTAGTTTTGTAGTTTATGTATACATTAAACTTGATAGCTTGTAAGAAGATTTAGATATAAGACACATATCCCACTACACGTCTTCAATTTATACAGTTATTCTAATCTGCTGTGTCATCAAATTATGTAATATTCCTAAAATAGTATTCTAAATTTTAAAGCGCAAAATCTTAAAATGGCAAGTAATATTCTAAAAATAAAGTTCACGTGTATCTCCTTTAATTTCCCAGTAGCTATCGATAAGAAAATGACTACACGCTCATCTCCGAAGTACCTCTTACCCCACCTCTATGCACAAATTGTATGTTGAAATAGTGAATGAATAATAAGGCCCATATTTACCCTAGCGTATGTCAGGTACTCATCAAAGCTGGGTAAACTCAGGGACGTTCAGAGTTTCCTCAACCGTCCCCCGAACGAAATGAAATTTATATAGAAAATATATACTTTTAACAGTGTCCGCCCCCCCCCCCCCCCGCGAAGAAATGCTGACCAGAGGCCATATTTTTAAGCAAAACAAATGGACACTTGCCTGAATGCGACAAATGCCCCAGAGTACACTTGCACGAATGCCGTTTGCTCGAATAAAGTTTTATATTATATATTACTAAGTAGGCATTTCTTAATAAATTTGACATTTTGATGATCAACACAATTCTAAGAATACAATAACAGAACTTTGTTTATATATGTGTTTGACTTAGCCTTTATTGATTAAAGTTAAGACACTTTTATTGTTTAATAAATGTAAGGTGATGTTGAATTCGGTTTCTTCAGAGGCATAGCGAGGGGGGGGGGGGGCGGGGGGTGCGGACCGCACCGGGTGACACCATTTAGGGGGGTGACACCAAGGCAAAAAATGGCAAAATATAGAGAGAAAAACTTGAGAGGGGGGGGGGGTGCAAATCGAAAGTTCGAGGGGGGGGGGGGGTGCAAATCGAAAATTTGAAATTTGTCCCCGGGAAGGGTCGCTACGCGTCTGCGGGGTGACACCATTATGTGCCGCACCGGGTCAGGGGCG